ATGGAAAGAAGAAACCTAGAACACGTATAAGTGACATGATATTACTGAGCTGAGGGAGTATTCAGCTTTCATGGTGCATCCCCTCCGGGCATAGCGTTTGGGTGGGTCGGCTTTTTCAAACATGTTTTTTCACCAGCGAAATGGGCAAACTTATAATATTGAAACGTTGTGGGCATGTAGTTCACTGAGGATGGATTTCGGGCAAAAAAATGATACGTTTGGTAAAACGACTCAAGCCACATATTTTGCAATAGGCGTATTTTCATGAATTTTCTGATTCAGCAAAAGAGAGAGCGCATAAAAGTTAAAACACCTCGCAAATAAGTACCTGATGGATAGCTGCGTCAGGAAAAAATTATACTTTTATTATATATCGTGAGTACCTGCTGACTGACATAAGTAGCTATTCGCATGCTTCGTTCAGGAAAAGTTCTACTTTGGTGATGCATGCCATAGGGTGCACGTTCCGGGGAACATATTTTCCGAAGGGCAAACAAACTCGCTATGGTTGCGCCTTCGGCGCTCCATGACCTTGGATTGTGATTAATTCATTCATTTTTTGCGAAATGGGAAACACGTATTTTAAGTACGTCCCCATTGAAATACGTGACATATGGGGTCGAAAGTCTTCATTTTTGTCAAAATCATTACTTCTATAATTCTATGTCTGTCTAACTTGAAATACTTTCTTGTGTCTCTTTTTGTAATGATGAAGAATACATTTTGAAATACTTCCCTCCTATAATCTACGCTAAGGGGACATATTTCAAAAGTAGGATTTTTCCTGTACTCAGCCATTAAAAAGATACTTCTGAGGGATTATTATGTTTTTTTGTCTCTGTTTCGTTGGATCAAAAAAAATCAGGAAAATTGAACTGAGAAAAGTGCATTGATGGGTTTTTTATCGAAAATTATTTTTTTTTTAATGTAGACTCAGGGAACTCCATGCCACCTAGTTTTAGCCTTATACGTTTTACCTTTTTTACTGGGGAAAAATGTATTTGGAAATGCTACCCACCCAAAAGCTGTGCTCTGAGGAGACGCACAAAAAAGTTAAATTTTTCCTTAAATCAACATCACGTCCGTTATGCGTGCCCCAGCTACTTTTCTATTTCTGCCTTATTCGGTAGTATATGAAAAATTATTTGAAAACGTTACGCTCCCAAGAAATATGAATCCCAAAAATATATTGGAAATTTGACGTTTGACATTTGAGCTCATTGTGTCAACGGTCACGTTCTTGCCAGGTTTCAGCTTACTATATCTCTCCGTTTTACTCAAGAAAAAATAATGCTATGGAGGGGGAATGAGTAACGGGACGCATGTTTTGAAACCTTACTCCTGTTCGAACACTTGGACTGGTACCGCCAATCAAATTCCACGACGGCGTCATGGTGGGAACTTGGCTAACCCCGTAGCCGCTGGAAGTTCAAGCGAATTAGGCACAACTCACGAATAAACAGGTCGCTGAACATATAGCTGAGTTCGAAAAGAATATGGGTCTATGGTTTTCTCAATTAAGTTGGACAGCTCAACGCAGGGCCAACCTTCTCGTAACTGCCACCCCTATGACACTAGGCCTATGCAACATAAGAAAATATTGGTTACGTGATAGTACATGAAGAGATGCGAAGTTAGACCTATGTTTCAATTAGCTTAGTGACCATAGTCATATTTTTTATGAAGTATCAAGCCCCCCATTCAACAAAGGTGTCGAAAAACGTCCGAAGTCGCTTTTTCAGACGTAACACGGGAAATTTTATCTGATGGATTGATAGATAAGATTGCCTGGAGTGCGTGGATACATTCATCTTTACGATCTATGTACTGGTTTCTTCGGAAAATTCATTCAAGCCGAGTGATTCCAGCAGAATACTCACCGCCCGCGTCCACCGGAACTAGGCTTTCATCGGCGCGGCCGATCAGGTATCTCTGTTGAACAATCACCAAATATTTGTTGATACGTCGACAGCATAGGTTCTCCCGAGTGTATCTATACCCAAAGCACCAACTTTTCTCTCCCTGCTCACTCGTGATGCCTCTCGTTTCCGACTGCCCCCCACCACTCTACTCCCTCCCGTACGCTCGCGTGTGAATGCCTCGCTGATCCGCCTTCAACATGGAAATCTTGAAATGTTCTCTGATGGATCGATGGAGGGGGTTCACTGAAATGCATGGACACATTCACTTTCGTGATCAGTGCGCAGGTTCCATCGGAAAGTTCATTCAAGCTGAGCGTTCCCTGAAAGACTTCCACCGCCCGCCTCTATCTTAGCTAGCTTTCATCGGCGCTGCCGATTGGGTGTCTCTGGGTCTAAATCATGACATTTTTTGCCATGTCGACAGCAACATATGCTTTCAACATGGAAACCTCGAAATATTCTCTGATCGATCGATGGAAGGTGTTCTTTGGATTGTATGGACACATACACGTTTGAAATATATGGCCAGGTTCTCTAGGAATGTTCATTCAAGTCGAGCGTTCCCTTTAGGATATCCACCACCTGCCTCCACCTGACCGGGCTTTCATTGGCGAATCCGAACAGGTGTCTCCGGTGAGAAACCACAGAATAATTCTTCTTACACGTCTGGAACATGGTTTGGATTATGCGAAATTGATTACGCTTGATTTGGAAATTGAGTCCCCTGCAGTTTACTTTAATTATAGTGCGTCACCTATCTTTCTTGAATTTCATATCATTCGCAAGCATGTACAGTAGGTATGACATTCCAGAGCGGCATTTTCTTTTTCCTTCCCCGACATCAATCCTTCACTTTGGTGGTCTTCGGTGGGTGGTTTCAAGTATCCGCCCTTTTAATCCTCGGCTAACTTATTTTTAGTCCGCACCTGGCTGAGTCTTCGACCTTTGTGGAGTGACCTACGCCCAAACCCCAAGTTTTTTTCTTATTATTCTCCTCCCCTCCCCCTTCTGACCCTGTGTTGTGTGATAGTGGACACCCCACGGAAATTTTTATTAGGTGAGTAAATACGTAAAATTTTGTTTTCCATTATAGCTGTTAGCAAATTAGAGTATATCGTTTCTAGGATCTATACGATCCATGAAGTTTGCCTAAGGCTATTTAATGGAAATTGTAGGCTAGCACGTATCGCATTAAGATTAAATTTACGCCTCAGGGAATGAGCTTTCTGGAGAGTTCCAAGTAAAATTTTCTTGCTAAAATTTCATTGGACTTTTATCAACACCTCCAGTTTTGTTACTGCCTTTTGGCTCATTCTCAGACTTCCTGCGAATCTCATCAAGCCACCCTGAAAAATGAAATCACCTCCCTAAAATTCGATTTTGAAGCATCTCGTCAATTTCTTCAAATAATTAATAAATTATTGTTTCCAGCCATGTGACAGAGGCTCCACGTGCATCTCACGTTTTTCTAACATGTAATTTTATTTTCTAACTCGATCCAGGAAAAGAGTCTATCTGAATTTAGTTGAAATATTCATATTGATTGTGGATTTCATGTCACCAGGAGCACATTTGCTGTGATGCGTGCATGAATAATGTTAGTTCATAATTGAAGGTCTGATTAGAGCACTAAAGAAGTATTTTAAAATTATAACCATATCCATCTCAGAAAGTTGAGTGCCACGACCGTCAGAAATACACGGTGATTCACAATTCTGGAACCATGAGAATTTCACATCTTCTCATTAGTTTAATATTGCCACTTGGTGTTCGGTAAACCTATACAGCTTCCTCTACGAATTGACCCCAAAACTTCGCAGAATGTCGATATCTCAAGACTGCCATGTGTGAAATTTTAACATTTCATACATTTGCGGAATGTCCTATGGTTTTGGACTCATGAACAATGTATATGTACGATGAAAATGTAATAGAATTTGTGTCCATATTGACAGAAAAAGGAAAAGATTCCTTGTCCGCACCCTAGGGTCTAAAGGAAACTCCAGTGTGCGACAACTTGTTAGATAGTGTAAATCCTATTCAGACTAGCAACTTCAATATAATTTTCCCCTTACGCCTATACATTTTCCTTTTGCTCTAATCGATCATTAATATGTATTGAATATTTCCTATTTTCCCTTTTGCAGTTCATTCTTTTGGAATGACAGGTGCTTCCCAGAGAACACCAAGAAAAACCAGGAGGAAAAGGAGAGCGACTTTTGCAAGAGCCCAAAGATGGTTGCCCTTTCATGAGACTGAAACAGATTAGCAAATAATATTACCAATCCCATAAACACCTCCTACGCATTGAGGTCTAAACGGCTTACAGGTGATGCTATACTTATGAAATATATCCGAAAAGGTGAGAAAATTGGTCATTTAATTTTTAAAATTTGTATACGGGTCGTGGAAGACTTTATCACATCCTTTCATTCATCGAAATTAGAGCGCAAATATTTTAGAAAAGCTGCGTTCTCAACTAAGTAGATGGTCAATGATAATGGAGGCTTCATGGAGGCATCATGAACTTAGATCGTCACAAAGAAATCATGTATTTCTTGGGATTGAAATCTTGCCCCCACGAAAAGCCGCAAGCTCAACTTTTTTTCTTTATTTTTTTTATACCAAAAACGGTATATAATCGCGGCTCGAGGAACGAAGTGTCACATGAAATGCAACGATCGCAATGGGTACTATGAAATACCATATAGTAGGGTTCATTCTAGCTAGATGAAGTCCATTAGCCCACATGTGGAATTTATATAGTTACTGTCACAAGGTGTGCATAACCATTACGTCAATTGTCGCCTTCGAAAGCAAATTAGGCCAGAATGACAGATTTGTCCTTTGCGAAATTGTCCGATCGACGCGAACAATATTTCATCCGTTTTTCTTCAGGTTCCGATCAGGAGGAACAAGCTCGAGAGACTTCGAGAACATGCAGTCCGATAGACGAAGAAATTCGACTTCCGAAACGTCCCCGAAAAGATATTGAGAAAAAAAGGCCCATCACGCCTGGATTATCTGCTCATTCGTATGCTGAAGGGGAATCAGAACCACAAATCTCGGAAGGAGACGGAGGTTAGGTTTTTTTTCTGAATTTCCCTCATCTTAGGTTTCCCTGCAAATTCTTTCAAACATTAGACTTTTATATGCGATGCAAATATGGCAAATGATTCTTCCCTGTAAAAAAAATATACAGAAAGTTTGCTTTCCTCAGATTCCTCCAAAAAGAAACTGAGAACCCCACCCAAGAATCGTAAGAAGAGGGCGGTCTCGATTGGGATCTGGTATGTTTCACAAAAATACTTACAGCACCTGAAACGATTATTCACAACTCAACGTACGCGGGAAATTCAATAGGTCTACATGCGTATAGGCCTCAATATTTACATTTCTACGGGAACTAACCCCTCCTCCTCCTCTTCATGCTTTAGCTATCATACATCATTAACAATAACTGAACATATTCAACTGTAGTTGATCACTTCCCGTATCTACGTCTCATCGGGCATCCGTTTCTCCATATTGAGTCAAACAAGATTGAATTAAATTTTGCTTGTTCAATTAAAGAATTGGTCACAAAAGGGCTGCACATTTGTGCGACTTATACCAATGAGCGGTGTCAGAGTCAAAAGTGAATTTACTCCTGTGGCATATATCCCAGAAACCATCGCCAGAAACCAGAAGCCAATTCGTCAGGGAATTCACGAACATCGTGTGGGACTAGAATTTGGGTCATTCTCGTTCCATCAGATCTTTATTATAAATAACTTTAATTCGTATGGATATTATTAAGGATTGACATGCCTGACCCAAACCTTCCAGGATGTGCGACGCACGGCTCAGAACGTGAAGGTTAAGGGGCGAGAAGCATGACCTGTGAGTTCACACGATGGGGTTTCAGCCGTTTGGCTGTATTCCCATCCTGTAGGTTGAAAACCATGCGCATACTTACACACTCCATGGGAAACTAGCCATTTGGCCCATTTCCCATCCTCTGAAGAGCAATGCGCATCAAGGACGCGCAAGTGAATTTGCAAATTCAATTTCTCTTACTTCTCACTGTGGAGCCTAGTGGCTCAAGTCTCATCCTATGCGGGGAAACACGGAATGACTGCACAATTTGAATGACACTTCAAAGCCTTTATTATCGTAACACAACATATTGAATAATAAAAATTGATTGGGAAAAATATCAGTCTCACAATTAAATACGTGTATAATGCGAGGATCAACCAGCGAATATAAAATCCGTCCTTCTTCCAAGACAAGGATTTTATTGAACATATGCGTTTACAAGATAAGGGTTGCACAAAAAAACAGGAAATCCCCCACTCATTTGACAAAAACACCTTTTGCACAGGATTGAAGGATGAGGGGAACCCAATCTTCATCCATTGGACGATCGGCTTCGTAAGATCCCGCCGCCTTCTTCCTTCCCGACTTCTGCACTTTTTCAAAGGGCCTGGAGATGCTGCACAAAAGTGAAAGAATTTAGAACCTCAATAATTCATTCGCATAAAAATCAGGCTGGGATAGGTTTAGCATAGCTCAATTTCATATGTTCATATTTTCCATATTTTCATTTCATAATTTCATTATCCTAATATGCAAATCACAAAAATTGACATGCTGGTAAATGAACAAAGGTTTACAAAATTGTAATACATCAAGCGTCGAAAAATGGTCCTCTTTAGAACAAAAGTTTAGGAGAAGAAACTTTTCACTTCTGGATTGGTGCAACATTCAGTTTTTTCAACCCCATTTTGTAGAGCTAACATTCCCCTCTCCTGCGCTTACAAGAAGAAAAAACTATAAAAAGCTTCAATATAAGCAACGTATCTTGTATTCTGAAGCCTTGACCATCAGGATTGAATCAAATTCCGGCTACGTTGATGGTTGATATGTCCTAGTCAGGTGCTCATTGCTGGCTACATCCGACGTCTCCAAGCTTGTCGTCAATCATTCCTGCAGGATGAAGAGAATTCATTTAAGATCATTGCAATGAGCTGCGTAAAATAGCAGGAATGGTATTGTCCAAGTGAACAAACACCACTCATGATATTTTGATTCGAGATAAATCAATATTGAAATGAACATTCTGTTGAATGGTTGGGCTGGACCTGTATATAAGGTTACATTAATAAAAAAATCACGTGCCTAGTTTTTTTCTGAAGTCTCTGGTTCACGTTGCATTATTTGGTCAGTCTCTTGATGAAGCCGCTTTAATTCTTCCCTCGTTTCGCTCCTCAGCAGCTGCCTATAGTCTGTTAGAGTGAATCCCCATAAGAGGAGTGATTCTCGGGGAACGGTTGAAAGGTTTTCAACTCCAGTCATTGGGTTCCATGATTTCTCATAAGTCCCCTGGTACCAGTGGATGGTCACTTCTTTCTCTTCTACGGAGGTTATCTTTCCTATCCATGGCCGTGACGTTTTCTCCTCTGTATAGACGACGGCCAACATCCCCGGATGAAGGTCGTTGGACCCAGCACATATCCCCAGTCTCCTACTGCCAATGGAACCGATGATGGGCTGTGGAGTGCATACAGGAAATTAAGTCTGGAGTTCAGCTTTGCAAGAATGATGGACTATTTGAAAACGTTCAAGTGCAATGTGGATGCCTCTAACGTTAGGAAAAATATTCTCACCTGTTGCAATGGTCCGAGCATCTGACTTTTCATGTTCGCCAGGCATGGTTGGCGTTATGCCGGCAGGTTATTCATTTGAAGCGTTCTTGTATTCTCTCAGCTTTAGAAGGTACAATACTAGTTCCTGGGGATAGACCAATGCATATCTGGTAGTTTAATTCCATAAGTTACTTGCTAATAAAACATATTTCAGGCTGCATACAACCGCCATTACCATGGATTGCTGGGTTTCTGGAGAAAACACATGCCAAGCGTGGACTTTGTCTTCAGACATTTCTGCGAAGTAATTTTGGATGGATACCCTCACCACCTCTAGTCCAGCTGCATTCCAATCAGGAGGCACCAGAACACCGAATGGATTGAGTACTGGAGTCGTCTGGGAGGTGGGAATGAATCAATAAGTGAAAAGGGGGAAAGGCATTCTACACGTTCCTAGTTAATAATTTCATGAGCAACTCCAAGCCTGAGAAAGGCTTCTGCAACTATACTCCTGCAAAAGTGACATTTCATATTAGGAACCGCTTGAAGGTATACAACTAAAATCAGTCCAATCCAATTTAACTTTACACAAATGTTATAATGTCAGGGATGCTTAATGACCTCAACTAGGGATATTAGTCAGTCATTGCACACTCCTTACCTGTAGACATCCATATTCAAGGTCTGGGCCTAGGCACTCCCTAATGTATTGAATGTCATGCTCATTGGGGCACCAGACTTCTCCAGCATGCAATCGAATGTGCATTTGTGTGATTCCTTTGGATTTCCTGAATCAGAATGAATGAGATTTGGTCTGTCCACGAAAATGACGTGGAAAATGATCCTGGATGACAGTTTTGGAGTTGTGGACGACATTCAATTCTTCAGCATGAAGATTTTCAGGTCTTCCTCTTCTAATCTCTTGCAGACACGTCATCAAATCTGTAATTGAACGGAAAGATATATTTGATTATATTAATATTAAAATTGTCTTCTATCATTTTCCGTTAAAATTCGTTGTCATTGTTGTTTTGGCTACAGATGTTTTATTTTTAAAGTGTCTGGAAACTTTCTAGTCACCCTGTAAATGCAGCATTTTCAGAGCTCTCTCCCAAACGCGCCATAAATGGGAAATGGGAGCTTTTCAAGGGTATCCTGTAATCGCGTTAAAATGAAGTTGCTGCATGGCTTGCTGCTCATTTGAATAATTTTGCATATTATTTGTTTAGTGTGGGAGCTCCTCGCTTTCCGAGACAAATGGGTGTTCTTTTCCGCTATTGAAAAATAAATGTTTCTCATGGTTGGTGAGAACAAGAAAGACAAAGATGGGAAGCGCCTCAAGGTCAAGGGAGGAAAGAGAATATCCTGCGATCAAAGCTGCCAAATTGCATCCAAACCATGACCACATCAAGGGAAATGCATAAGTCTGATTATTAGAGAATTGTTATGTTTCTTGGTTAAAATTGTGGTACTTATAGAAACTCTTTCTTGTGAAACTTCTCCTCTCTCTTATTGACCCTCTCAATGTTTACGTTAAATTTAGAAGAAAGCGTGCAATCGTTATTCATTGTTTTCATCCTCATGGAAAATGCGATGAATTGTTGGGCTTCCCTGGAAAGTTACTACTAAATAAAGGGTTAGTAGGGCACATATGAATAGCCTTCTAGTAAACATTATTTTATATTTTTCTGCAGTTGGTGTTTAAAGGAATTCAGAGATCTGTTGCCGTCCCCAGGAGTCGAATCACCGGGAGCAACAAGATCACTTCTGCAATAGTAAAATAATATATTCAAACAAGACGTCTTGAAGGTTTGGTGAAGGCCATAAACCGAGTCCTTGAGGTTGTTCAAAGAGGGCAGGAATTGGCTTATATCAACACAGGAAATGACAACCAGTGAGTAATTTCTATTAACCTCCCATAATTGTTTATATCTTTTTCTTATTACAGTATGCCGAATTTATTTCCAAGGTATATCAAGAATTGGTTGATCTTGTGTAAAAAGTTTGCCAAGGCTAATTTGTTTTTCTTGGCCCCGCCTTTACATTCCAAAACAAAGTATGCACTCCATGCACTTATTGCAGTGGAATCGACAGATGCTTCAGCTAGATTCGTAAAGACTAAGCAAAGAGAGAAACACGCGCGATCATTTTGTTTCCCTCCTTTCATGTGTCCATTCCGTAAGTTTTTGTTTTCCATGAAGAATGGAAAAATGTGCGCACATTTATATCTCTGAATTAAGCAATTTGTTTCATGTTTTGCAACAAATTTATTTCCATCATTCTAGACGCAAGTCCTGCAGTACTACGTATGCCTCTCAACGCTCGGAAATATCAGTTCCGTTCGTTTCGACGGTGTTTCCTCCATCACAGACGGAAGTCACGCCTATCCTTGAGGCGAATCCGGAGTCGAGCATGAGACAAACCTGTAGGAAAGGGATTAGAGCAAGAGAAGACTCCGATTATAGAATAAAGAAGAGGAAGGTATCTGCTACTTCTTGGAGTCGAGCAAGTCTTGAATCCTGTTATCGCGGTGCGTTTTGCATTCGGTGAACAAATTTGTGAAACACCTGGGATTTGAAACACGGACTAGGATTCAATTACTTGAACCAATAATTTTCTTTGAATTGCAATAATACTCGTTCAGAAAGATCCATCTTTAAACGAACTTCTAAGAATACAATTTTTTATTTTACACTTCTGAGAACGGTGATATTTTATCTACTGCAGGGAATCATGAGATTAATTTTTCTCTTCTCGAGCTGAGTGCTTCTGCTGCAAGGTCATTCTCCACAGATAAGAAAAACCTCCTGAAGGAAAAACTGACCGCAGAAGGTGAAGACAAAAGGTGCCAACTACCCATCGTCGTGGCTTCCAGTCCAAGTTCAAATTCCTTCAATGTCGGGTATGTAAGTTCATCCCCTTCATGAAGCTAATGAATTCTGGAGAGTTAATGTTTATAGTATGGTACGTGACGATGAACGAATTTTCTTACCACAGCTTCACGCCTACAAGTACGAGGTAATAGCCAGCCAGCACATTGTCCAGGCACGGAAGGAGATCGGCCAGGAAACGGGAAAGGGCAAAGATACTTGTACATGCGCAATCTACTGGGGTTTGACAGAGGAATGAAAGAGGATGCTGGCACTTCAGAACGCCAAGATACAAGGAGTCCCCTATGATGCCCTTGACGTAGTGAGAAATCTTGTAGCTTCTAACGAATTTTGACAGAATTGTCCAAGAACTTTGAAATTCTGGAGGAGGATAACCTTTCCCCTTCATTTCATGAAGCAGTTTAGTTTCTGCATTATATATTTGTTCGTTTTCCAATAACACATCGTGCATGGTTATCTCTAATTAGCTGGAGAAATATGAAGAACTTCGAGAAACCAGGGAAAATGAATCTGAAATCCACGCAGCTTATGGTGAGATCCTGAAAGTGAGTTGAAATATAGTCTCCCTCACGCTGCACGCTATATCTTGTTTCACAGCCTGACATTTCGTCTATGATCTATGTGAAATATCAGAAATTCTGTATAATCCTGGAATTTCTTAAAATAAGGACTTATGCTATATGATTTGTCTGGCTTTTTAAAGTCTACCGCATATTTTGTACTTTCTTTTTATTTTAATCCTTGCAACATCCTGACGAGGATAAAAAGAAGCATCAAGTCCTGAAGAACATATTCCAAATGGGGTCCGAGGCAGTGCAAGGATTCCTGACAATAGCAAGGGAGTTAGAGACGATGGAGACTGGCTGTATTGACTAGAGACTCTATCATCTACGACATCTGGAGAATCCCTGCATAACCACAAATGATTTCCTGGTATTTCGATGATTTTATACCGATCCTGACTTTTCTTTTTCAATAATCTCCAGAAACCTGAGTTTCTAGAGATTATTGATTAATAAACTGAAATAATAAGTGACATGAATGATGGAAAACAATATCTGCTCGATGCGAAAAATTTCAGCAGGCAACTTATTGCGACGAATATTAAAAATCTGGAATAATGGTACCAAATAAATAACTTGGAATTTCAGAGATGGCATAGGCTCATTAATGCAATTTCCTTTTTTTTGGGAAACCATGATCTAAAATGAAACTGCAGTTAGACTGAATTCATAATTTTATATTACAGGAACACATGAAAATCCTGAGACGGGGAAGTGACATAAAAGAACTTCCAGACAAACTACAGGAAGTTATCCAAAGGAAGACCCTGATTAGATCCTTTGCAAGGTATTGCAGTTTCCTACTTCAGCACTTACCAAAGGATCCGTACCCCATAGGTTAAAGGAGACCAGTCGTTACGATCCCAAAATTTTGAAGAAGAAAAAAAAATAGAACAAATAATTCAATGCAAAATATGACAATCGCTTCATCGTTACTTCAGCATGTTGTGAACTTTAAAATTACTGTGTGCAGCTTTTGATTTTCATATAACGCTTCATTTTTAGCGTGTAACTTTCATTAAGGAACAAGGATAGGTAGCCAAAAATAAGAGATATCTCTATGCAGGATTGCCAGTATGGAGGAGGAAGAAGTTTTGCACAGGTTTTCGCAACAAGTGACGAGTCCTTGAAGTCGTTCATGGGAATGAGGAAGCCCGAGGAAGCAGATGAATGGACGAGTTTTGTGAAGCTGTGTATATCTCGCCAAGCCATTCAGAGGGGAAAAGATTATCCAGAAACCGGTCAAGAAGTTAAAACTATTCTTGGAACCCCCTAGAAGTTCCCAAAGGAACTTTCATTTATCCTCTCCATGCAGCGGGCTTTTCCATCAATGTAAGACTTGAGAATGTTGTGCCCAGCTGATGACTCTTTTTATATTTCCGCTGGTTTCGTCCTAATTTTAGGATACTGGGGATATTGTGCATGGAGGCCGAGGAGGCACTTCTCATCAGGGTCGTTGCAAGGAGGAGAAGAAAATACCCATTGCGTTTTGCGCTGGAGACATCATGCATGCAGCATAGGTTCGAGAGTCTCTCAGAAGGCATGACTTAAAAACTGATGTGGCTATTTTGCATGGGGAAGATCGTGAAGGTGAGTAATTGATTTGATAATGGCAATACAAGTTTCTTTGTTGGTGGCTTTAACTCCAGGAGAACTCCTATTCCAGGAGAACTCTTCAAGCACCATCATTCCTATGTTGTTATCGGAGCTAGACACAAGATTGACCTTCCATCATTTGTGCTCACAAGGAAGGAGTTCCTGCAATCCTTCCATAGACCAAACTGCTGACTCTTGTCAAACATTCGAGGATTGAGTAAGTTTAAATTATGACAGTCCCGGTGATTGGCTATATATGTTGGCTGGTCATGCATCGCAATTAATTGTGAAACATTTCCATCACTCCACAATTTCTTTCAGGAAAAGAAGAACTTCCTCTTCACTTGAAGCTGGTCACTCTTATAGATTTGAAGTTGGAGTCAGAGGAAGGTGGTGATGATTCGCAACGGTCCGTGGAACGTCTTCCGGGCTTTGAATCGGAAACGCAAATCGAGTCATTCACTTTCTGCATAAATCGATCTGCATCATATATGTGTGATTGCATATGACCTTGAAAGGCAATGAATGTGGGAGAGGAAACATTGGAAAACTTCGACCTTGAAATGTCACCAGATATTCCAGAAGACTCTCAGTGATCCTTTGTACTTCCCACCCAGCGCCTTCCAAAGTTACTCAACAATATAAGTTTCAGATTCTCTAAACGATTGTGGCACTGCCTATGTTTGTAATTATGAACTTCAGTGATTTGACCTTATTTCCACATTTCTTGCTACTGTAGCACAAGTACAGGAATCGGTTTTGCAGTCCATGGGAAGGAAAGTACCTTTTCAATTTGCTTTTTCAATACCACTGCAATAACGTGTACTTTGTTTATTGATGTTCATGTTTCTTTTTTCTCTCTGCCAAGCTGACATCGGAAATGTGAATAATCAACCCTGAGTTTGACCTGTAGTTTCCGTGACAGTATCTTCATTAGAAGTTGTATGTCAAAATATCAGGTTCTTCCTAGTAAATTACACAGTGAGAGGGATTATATCATACATATGTTATTGATTCGCAGGGTGGAGTGGTGATGAGCCGAAAATATTGCATTTCGACTTAATCATGAGATGCGGAGTTCCTTCACAAATAACCACCCGACTTCTTTGATATTCTATGGATGTGAATGGTGTTGGTAATTACTATAGGGTGTTCATGAATTTTTCCTATCGTTCCAAAATACGCCTTGGTTGTCAAGTCATGTAATCCGACACACATGTTTTTTCCCCCGATTATTGCCGTGCACACGTGGCAAAACTCTTGGTATGAAAAGCAATTTCCTTTTCTATGACAGTGGAGATGGAGAGTCACCGAGGTCTGGAGTCACCATAGGCAGAAGCAGAGTTCACTGAGGACAATTGTGATTAATTTCATCGACGTGTTTATACACATTAATCATGCGATTCAACTGTCTTTGAATAAGTGGATCTCTTGTGTGTCACTAAACTCGATGCTGCCAAGTGCTTAAGACGTTATCGCGTATATTGGCTGCTAAGAAGATTGCGAGATAGTCCCTTCATTTTTTTAAATTCACCGTCCCGCCCCTCCTTTTTCTCTTGTCATGTGATGCGTTGTCTTGTTTCATGTAACAATTTCATTTGTGACTTATTGCTTTTCCAGTCAATACATACATATAAACGGATTAAATTGCATTGGAATTCATTTTGTACTTAATAAAAATATGGGGATGGAAATGAAGTCCTATTTCTCCCTTTGAAAGGCTGTGTTTTGGGACAATTGGCCACTCTTACTGTCTGTGCGTAAACGAGGCCATAGTGATACCCACTGAATGGGTTTCTAACCAGTTGACTGGAAACTCTTTGTGTGCCTTAAAATCTACAAGGCCGTTGACAGAATGGGAAGCTGGCCAATTGGCTGAAAAACCCACCCTCTTCTAGACATGCGCACGCCCTCCAACAAAATGGGGAATTGGACAATTTGCTTGGAACCCATCTTCTCAGAGACATTCAACATTCTTACTTGCAGGACTCCAAATCCATGGAAAACCATCCTGTGACAAAAAAAGGAAAATATTGACCTCAATGATGATAATAACTATCGGGGTCTCGTCAAATTAAAATCGTCTTACTTATCAACACTAACCATGGATTTAAATCCTTGAAACCCAAACCCCCCCTTAGATCTAAATTTCGCTTCATAATTGTTGTAAGGGACATCAAGAGGGAGCCTTGGAGCCGATATCTGGCTCTCTCGGGTTACAATTGTGGCCATTATTTGAGGTCAAAGGTCACGATTAGCATACCTATCCGGAAATCTCCGTCTCCCCACCCCTTGAAGCGTCAAATCGGGACAATTTTCATTTTGACTGAAGACTCTAAATGAAGACCATAAAGGTCATGCTCCGTTACTCACGGCGTCATGACTGGGAATCCTTCTGTCCCTTTTCCCTCGCTCATTCCTTTGCATCCAAAAACGTATGCTCCAGTTTTTTGGAGGCCATCCCCATCCATCTTCGTGCGGAGTTGCGTTTCGTCTCCTCCAACCGTTCTCCACAATGTTCGAAGATCCACCATAAATAGTACTTTTTTTTGGAAATGACGCGAGAGCATCAGATTATCGAGCGTAGCCCAAAAGCGAGGCCGAATTTCGCAATTTCTTCTAATAAATCTCTTCAGTCTCTTGACCAATTTTCACGAGAATTCGTTCACTCTCCTTGAAGCCTATCGAGACTCGCTACCACACCTACTACTGCCTTATCATTGCCATTCTCACTGGACTCAAACACAACCCGCCGCACTTATAGTAGCAAACATAAAGGTACAGCAGGGATTTTCGTCCTTATTGCTTTTCTGCTATTTATTGACTTTCACTTGCCAAGTCGACCGTTTGTTTGGGCTTAAAGTATTTTGCAAGTTCTTGTAGCACCAATATTTACAGTCAAATGGTGTTGCAAGGCACACCATGACATAGCATTATGCCTTTGTAGGTCTAGCAGCATGTTTTCATCCTTTATTTTTATCCCGAATAATGGGTATACCACTTTTTATCTGGTTTAAGAATATTCTGAAGGAATAAATGGAACTTGGAGCACGCTTGCAAGGACACCGGTGTCCAAGCTCTAGATTATTGGAAACTAGACGATCATGGTTCTTGGTGACACTTTCCCCACGGCAAAGAGGCCATCTCCTGTACGGTCAAAAACTAGATTAATATAACAATATACTTGCGATATCGATCTTAGCGTCAAATATTCTTAGATAAGATACATGAAGGAAGACTCTTCGAACCTTGCCATCCTCATGCTGGCTGTCGTAAGCCCCTGCCGCGGCATCGGGGAATCGAAGCCGCACTGCCTCCCGGGTGATCGAGGGAAATATTATCTTCCCGTGAAGGCGCCTCTGAAAGACGAGTTGTAGAGAACATCTCATTGACTCGCAGGGAATGACGGACCGTTTTTTTATAGTATGGTTTGGGCAGGATAAAAATATATATGCACGGAGAGTGATTGTGAGAAGAGGTAGGAGGAGTTGCACAAAGATTATAAAGAAAATATCCAGCTGTGACCTATTCCTTCAGTTACGGACAGACAGAATGGGTTTCAAACTTCCCAGCCTTGGAACTTGCAACTTGCTTGCAACAAGATGTTGCAACTTATTTGTGAGCGATGGTAGAAAAATATATTGGAATAATAGAGATAAAGAGAGGATGTGATTATTCATTGTCTCTCTAATCTGGACGTAAGGCCGTAGAAATATACCAATAGCTGAATGGGACTCAACATTCCACATCAGTTTCACTTTGGAACAGTCAACATTTACTCTTCCTGAAATTGTTGAACTCCCCCCCCCCCATAGCGTTATTTTCTGTGCTGCCGGAGTTCCCTATATCTTTTCGGAACAATACTTTGGCATAGATGCCAGTACCATATTTTACTAGAACTGAAGCCACCTTTCTGTCTCATCGGCCTCTGCCATTTCCCTCTCGCTTATTTATTGTCCCCAAACACCTGGATTATGTTGAGAATAACTTTTTTTTATGAGTAACCCCACTCCCCACATAGCTAAAAGGGGAAGAGGATTGCATTATGAGTCCATTTGTCAACCGATCTGTCATCTCTTGGGTAATTCCAAATTTTTCTGGAGATTTAGGGGTGGAGGGGAGGTGGATCGGGGTCAACGGCACAATCTCTTTGACCTGAGCCATTTGCGGTCAGCATTGAGTCACTTTCTTTAACCTGAAAAAAGTCCTGCGACATTGACTTCAACCAATCAGAAATGTAGCTTGACGCTTTCATCAAGGAAAAGAACCTGTTCAAGAGCGGAATTGCAAGATGGAAGTTCATAATTTTCAGCAAAGCCTATAAGGAATCCAAATTTCATTGGGATACCTTTGGGAAAAGGATGCCAATCTCTCTGCCGTCAAACTTTTAGGTCTTTTTTTTTGGAAGCATTTGTAACGCGTATCGAACATTTTTTCAAAATTTGGAACTGAGTATCTTCATAATGAAAGAAATATATAAGGATTTTCCTTCACTGATATTTAGAGATGACTGTAAAGAAAAAAAGCTCCACAGAATCATGCGCCAATGTATTCAGTCTACTCCGGTCTAGGACGATTTGACTGAGGCCATGCCGAAAACTCGCGCAGCACTTGACAACGTTTTTGCAGCGTGCCTCTTTCGTCGCCTACTACCGTGAGCTGTTTTTCTCTATCGTGTGGTGGAATGACCCACGATACAGATGACACCTAAATCACCTTTCTAAGTATGCCGGTTACGGAATAGTGGAGCTTTTCCCAGTTGTGCTTGAAACGCGAATCAGAACGGCGAAAATCTCTGCATTTTCGCAGACCTTTTCCTTACTTCATTGCCGGCTTCAGGTGCCAAAACATCCCTCGCACTCGGATTCACGTCCACCCTCTTCCTGTATGAGTGTACGTCTGAGAAATGGACTGGTTTCCTTCTCCCTTTCAACTTTCGCGCTTCCCCTGCCCCATCCTATTCCATCGAGTCCAAATCCCCCACCCCACCTGTCCCCCGGGGAAAACTTACTAAATGCACTCCTATTTGAGTCTCTCGATCTCTCTTGATCTACATGTTTCGTATTCAAGTGAGTTTTCTTACTTATTCGTACTTCATCGGAATCGGTGGAAATTCGAGAGATTTTGTCTTCAAAGATGGTGAGCAGAACTATGACTGCATAGTATTGGTAATGTCCTTTGTAACTGTCTCCAATGCCGTACAATGTACAGGTATTTTTTCTGTCTCAGTTTCTTATCTAGCTTGTAAACGGGAACGAAAATTCCAAACTGGAGGTTCGTGGATTGCCTCTGCTACCTTCAGGGCTTGGCCTTGGCACATTAGGCCTATAAAACCTGACCCAACCACGACTAACTGAATAAGTGGTGTCTAGGATAAAATATAAAAAATGGTATGGGAAAGAGCCCAATCACTGGAACCTGTTCTAATGGACCGGGTCCGTGTTGCAGTCACGTCCGTGCTGCAAGAGCCGCACATCCGAGCTCTATACAACGTTTCTGGAGCCTGCAGGAAATAGCTCACAGCCAGATTGCAGAAAAATCGCCCCCTTCGGGAGCAAATTTAATTAGGTCATACTTGTATTGCTGAGCAAACAGGTTAAAAAGTTTCTGTAGAAAATTCTCTTAATACCCATTGCCAAGTATCTTTTGGTACAAGAGATCACAGTTATAATGAAATCCAGCCACGTTGGAACAGATTAAAGCGAATCTTTTCAGCTGAGAATTAACAACATTCTTGATTATATGCCATGGGAAGATACTATTAGCATTCGGTAGGCTAAGAAATTCAAATTCAAAATTAATTAACCAGTTAGTCGGGGTTGGGTCAGGTGTTATAGGCCTAATGTGCCAAGGCCAAGGCCTGAAGGTAGCAGAGGCAATCTGGGCAACGCTCCAGTCTGTCATTGCAGGACACAGTCAATTGAATGCATGGTAGGGCCTCTTCCCTGGGCTACGTTTTTTTCTTCATAGGCTTGTTTCGTAACTAGCCTTCTCCTCCTTTTTCTTTTCCCTCATAGGCTTGAGCCATTCCGAACCATGCTCTCGCTCTTTTTCCTTCATAGGCTTGGGTCTACCATACACTTCAGTCGCGAGGCTGATCGAGCCAATCGATCGTTAACTGTGGCACTGACAGACGGACTTAAGCCGTGATTGCCTCTGGGGCATTAGGTACAGTCTTACTGTTTAATTCCATAGGCCGTAGCACCTGGCAGTAGAAACTTTCTAGGAAGGGTTTGTTTAGTCAGACTTGTGGCCTCAACCCCCTGACGAAGCAGGCTGCCTGACCAATTTCTAGGATAAGATCCTTCCTGTCCCGTCTCTTTTTAACTTCCTTTAGCCTCGCCCCATACGTGCAGGCTGTCTCTAGTAATTCTGACTCTCATCTCTAAGTCCCGCGCTTCTGGGTCCAAAGGTTGAACATTTTATGTTGCCCTTGGGTAGTTTCCAACAATTTCGGCACCAAATAACTTCTCTTACTCTATCTGTGCACCTTGGCTGGGGGCAGTTTACTGAACAGCCAGGTAACTGCATATTCAGCCAATATCTTTCTTTAACATTAAGTCCATTACTATATTTATTATTCTAGCGAGATTGTTTGCCCTTCGGGCAAACAAACTCGCTATAGTTGCGCCTTCGGCGCTCCATTACCCTGGATAGCAATTAATTCATGTAATCATTGGTAAATGGCAAACCCATATTTAAAGACCGTCCCCATTGAAACACGTGACATATGGGGACGAAAATCTTGCTTTTTTTTCCAAAAATCATCACTTCTATAATTTCTAGTGTGCCTAACTTGAAATCTTTTTATGTGTCCCTTTTTGTAAGAGTCGAGTATACATTTTGAAATATTTCCCTCATATAATGTGTGCATAGGGGAAATATTCCAAATGTTGGATTTTTCTTGTACTCAGCCATCAAAGAGGCACTTCTAAGGAAAGTTTAAATTTTCTGTATCTGTTTCATTGAATCAAAAAAATTCAGGAAAATGGGACTTTAAAAAAGTGCCCTGATGAATTATAACGGAACTTTTTTTTCTTCTGAATTGTAGATTCAGGGATTCCATGTCATCCAGTTTCAGCCGCATACGTTTCACTTTTTTGCTGGCGGAAAAAAATGTATTAGGAAAAGCGACCCACCCAAAAGCTGTGCTCTGAGGGGATGAGATGCACCATGAAAGCTGAATACTCCTTCAACTCAATAATATAATGTCACTTATACATGTCCCTAGTTTCACCTTTCCATTACCGCCCAATTCCCCATAACATTTTTCTTCGAGGGGCGATGTTTATATCGCCCCTCGAAAAAATTCCCCAGGCATTCATCAAGACTTAATATTTTCCTTGAACTCCTTGTCTCAGTAGTCAGATTCATGAAAAGTTTCAGCTCTCCATGTTCATCTGTTTAACTAATGGAATACAATTATTTGTAAACATCTCCCTTTGAAATTTGTGCCCCGAGGGCATTTACTTCCAAAGTCTGAAATTTTTTGGACGCAGCATTCCAATAGGTATTTATGTACCAAGTTTCATCTTTCCACACTAGCTCAATACGCCAGGACAAAAAAATAATTACTTGAAAACGTCCGCCCCGAAAAAATATGCCCCCAAGGCATAGATCTTTCTTTTTACATTTTCCTGAACTCATCGTCTTGGTAGGCCTGTCTGTGCCAGGTTTACGCTTTCCATGTCCCTCCAATTTACTCAAGCAAAAATTATTTTGGGGGAATGAGTACCGGGACATGAAAAGCAAAAAAAGCTATAAAAAAAACGCCAAGGAATGGGCAGGAATTGAACCTTGGCCTTCTGATTGCCACTCAAATATGGTACTACTACACATCTAGGACACTAGGACAGTACTCATCTCCCTTTGAAATTCATGGCCCCAGGTCATTTCATTCCAAAGTCTTAATTTAGTTGCATGCAGCATCCCGGCAGGTAATTATGTACCGAGTTTCATCTTTCCACACTAGCTCAAAACACCAGGACAAAAAAAGCACTTGAAAACGTTGGCCCCCAAAAATATGCCACCTGGGCACGGATCTAAAATTTTGCATTTTTCCTGAACTCGTGTCGGTAGGCATGTCCATGCCACGTTTCAGCTTTCCATGTCCCCGTTTTATTCAAGCCACGGGACCTGGAAGGCAAGAAATGCCAAAAAGAGGCATGGAGTGGTCGGGAATTGAACACGGGCCTCACGATTACCAGTTTGATGTGTTGCCACTACACAACCGAAACGGTGACGAATAGTGACACCTCTCGATGACATCCTTATCCACCACGATATATATATATTTTTTAAATCTCCCCCCAAAAACCTGTACCCCCAGGGTATGTACCTCCAAAGTCGGATTTTTTCTGAACTCTTCAACCCAAAA